CCAGAATTCGTCACCTGATACGATGTTGTATACAGCATTTGAGGATCCTGCGTGGAATCTTTCGAGAGTTCTGACGCACCAAGTAACGCGAGCTGCTTTTTGCTCTTCACAGAGCGAATGCGGTATCCATCGGGAAAACAACTTTTTTACACCTAATTGTTCATGCAAGATTATTTGTGTTTGACTCATGCCAATGTCTAAAGTTGCCTGAATTTCGCGGTATGTCACATGTCGATCTTCCTCAATCAGCTTACGCACAGCATCAACGTTTTCTTGGGTGACTGCAGTTTTTGGACGACCTTGACGGGGATCATCACTGAGCTTGACACGTCCACGTTGAAATTCAGCAAACCAGCGATAAATTGTGGTTTTGAATGGGGCTTCATCACCAAATGCAGAAATCATCCGGTCAACACACTGTTTTTGTGTTAAACCACTTCGAAAGTCATAATAAATCGTTGCTCTTGAATTTTCTCGAGTCAATTCCATTTTATCAACGATTAAACAAGTTTGACAAAACCTTGTGACCAGATCGAGAATCTTTTTTTAAATAAATAAATGGTATTCGATTTTTAAAACCAAGGAGTTTTCATTTAAAAAGATTTTAATATGATAGGAACAGTGGAAATATTCCGTTCCCGATACTTTTAGTGCAGCCTCTGTATATCAGCGTCGAGCCTCTACTATAATCACCCTCGCATTCAATATAACATATTATCTTGTTGCTGCAATATTACATATTATCATGTTCTATTTCAATTTTCTACTTATGAATCAATGCTTAGCTATTTGTTAATTTTAATCTCATGTTTCGTGATAAATAAATATTTAAAAATTCCTAAATGTATTATGCTTATTCATTTATTACTATTTCCATTCCAATTTTCTACATTCGAATGTTGAAAATTGGAATGGATGTAGAGTAAGATTAAAATTAACAAATAGCTAAGCATTGATTCATAAGTAGAAAATTGAAATAGACATGATAATATGTAATATTGCAGAACAAGTAATAGTTATATTGTGGGTGATTATAGTCAAAAATCTAAGAAATACATTTTGAGTAGACTTTTTCACAAGCATGCAAGCAAAAATGGAGTAAATATTCGAGTCTTAAAAAAATAGATTATAGAGTTGGTAATCATCTACTATATTTGCTAAGCATTGATTCATAAGTAGAAAATTGAAATAGAACACAGATATACATTTAATGGTTTTACAGAACTAAAGAAATTATTTTATACAGATATGTTTATGATACACAGAAATACTATATACTAATTTATATTGAGTGTACATATTATTATCGACACTCAAGTTTAGATGATTATAGATGCATCTTAGGATACAACATTTTCAGCAACACTTAACATAAATAGACATCACTCGATTAAGTAAAACGACTGATAAATTATCATTAACTGAATATTTACTGGTTAGTAATACAACAAGTGATTATTCTTCGAAATAGGTACGAAATAAACTAAATCGAAATCAAACTGAAAGCTTAGAAATGTTAAACAAAACAAACTCCATTCAATTTGAAAATGATTTAAAACATTCCCGTTTAAAATAATATTTCCGTGTTAAAAAATTTAACTTTGAAACTTTTCTTTTTCACAACAGCTCCCTCTGCGCCTGCGGTTCTTCAAAAACACTCTTGGGGTAGGGCAGGTAAACTACATGGAGGCGGGGCGTTTTGATACGGTTTTAGTACAGATTCGACCTATCTTATCTATAATATTAAATAACTGATAAAGAACAAACAATGTCGTTTATACCTTATAATAAGGTAAAGTCTTGAACCCAGAATATTACCGTCATCTACAGCTGACTTCAATATTTTTTCAGCACTTATAGTCAACCAAATCTAAGAAATACATTTTGACAGCTGTCACACTTATTGCACCAAGCATGCCAACCAAAAAATGGGAACGTACATAGTTCGATTTTTAAAAAATCGATATCGATTATTTAGAGTTGGTAATCATTTACAGTTTGTTTTAAATAATACCAGGTTAAATTAAAAACGGATAATTTAAAACACAAGATTTATCAGTTTCTTCGTATTTGCTGTTACTGCTTATTTCTAGGGGAACTATTATAAAAAATTAAGATTGAAACTATATTTAAAACAAATTTATTTAATCACTTTCAGTACTAGTTGAGCTGTCGTTGTTTAGATTAATTATTATTTGATTTTAAATAATGTAGTCAAAATTAATGTCTCTTTCAAATAATACATTAAAATCAATTTTTTTTTGTTTTTTCTACCTCTTTTGCCAAATCATCCTTTGTGACATGGGCACATGCTTCAACGAATATAGAAGAAGCAGTCCAAAATATTAAAACCGACTCAAAAAATAAAAAGACAAACACAATATCACAAAATTACACACGGATTACGGTTTTTTCAGCGCGTCCTTGTATAGAGTTCTTTGCCTACAAAATTTACGTTGACAAAGTAAAAAAAAAAACTTGTTTTATTCATGATTTATGTAATTTAATGAATTTTAAAAATAAAAATTTTATTTAACAAATAATACATTAAAAAATTAATGATTCTATTATTTGAATATTTTTACCGATTATTTGAATATTTTTGCCGATTATTCGCATAACAATTAATTTTAATCATCCAAGCACTACGGTTAGGTACATAGCGACATATCATTGAAACGACGTCAAATAAAAAAGTTGATACTAGTTATTTTTTTAAGATTTTGCTTTGTTTGAAAGGTTCGAATTTAAATTAGTGATAAAAAACTATACACATTGCAATGAAATATGGGTAACTTCGTAATTCTACGGATTTACGTAAAAGGTTATTTTAAATAGTGTGAGTACGCTTGTGCAAAGTTATTGCGGAATGATTAATGTGAAACGTCAAAAGGTATTTCTTAGATTTGGTTGACTATAATTCCTTGCTATTTAAAATTATCGTGTATCTATTATTGTCACCGCGTTGCTAGCAATACCTACGTTTCGCCAGCAACGCACGGTGAAAATTTTTAAATTTGGCACCTACTCGTAAATAGCACCTAAAAAGCCCCTAATTTTGGCTTTATCTAAATGACATTAAATTAAGGGTATGTGCTAACCTGCCATATTCTTGATGTAACTTGTTTTAACTTCATTCTCGCCGGGTTAAAATGATGCCTAATGATATTATAAGTAAACTTCTCAAAAGACAGATTTTGTATAAATATTTAATACAATAGAGTGTAGTTTATAGTAAGGTAGCTTTTGTAAAATAACAGATGTGAAAACGGTGTTTTTCTTGGGCCGTCACTGACGGCAATTAAAATAAGAAATATAACAAATTAAAAAAAAACATGTGTTTCATTAATCCATTAATCACGAGCCAATTTATTTAACTTACAAGGGTAGGTAGGTAGGTATATTTTATAGCCCAATAAAGGAGTCCCCACATTTATCGACGCGGAATCGGCTTTAGCCTGTCAGAAAAACCTTTATGTCTACGTAATACGCTAAAGGCATTCTCATCGGCTCCGCTCGGATGACGCGATGCGACGTCGTCTGACAAAAAAACGATCTGTTAGCCGATTAACTGATCACATCCGTACGGAGCTAAAAACAACCGAACGCCCACGTCGACGTGTTTAAGTCTCCAACGGCAGCTGAACGGCGTTGAAATGATCCGCTCGCATGATTTCATTTCCTACGGCAGCCGAATGGCGCTAGACAACAGTCGAATGATGAACGTTAAGTCGACTGACGAACGAATGTGACGGGCCATCGCGACGGCCGTTCGGAGGAGTCGACTGCCGATCGATTGTAAACAGCCGTCGTAACAGTTGATCGGCGTTAAGCCACAGAATAAATAATAGGTTAAGCCGAGTAGTGTGGTGATACGCACTCGGCTTAAGCCGATTCCAGGTCGATAAATGTCTCCACGCTGAGATTTTTGCGGGTTGTAATGTAATTTTCACCACAGCACTGACTTTCATCGTTTTCGAATGTGCATTTATTTTACTGGATGACGTTTTTTTAACGTCTGGAAAAAATAGGGTAAACAAATGTAACATGTGAACGGAGTAGAAGCCTATGGCATTGACATTTCACAAAAAATAAAAACAAAAATTTTTAATTAAACAAATAAATTTATTAAAATCTATCTAAATTAAATCATATCCACCCTACTTTTAGAACGGCAATAAAACAATAAATTTAGTAAGCATCTCTGATCTTGTCACTTTGCAGGATCACAGGTTCAAAGGCAAAGTTTTTATTTTTTGTAAAATATCAGTACCATACATAGGCTTCTACTCCAATCACATGTTACACCCTATTTTTATCCAGACGGTAAAAAAGGTCATCCAATATAGTTTATGTGCATTTATTAATAAGGTAAACGTTACTTGGCGCCACCGTGTGGTGGCGACGTTAAAGAATCTATCACCCCATTTCATCATGTGTGTGTTGAAGATTCGAGTATGGTATTGAATTAAACAAATAAATTAATTAAAATCTATCTAAATTCAAATCATATCCACCCTACTTTTAGAACGGCAATAAAACAATAAATTTAGTAAGCATCTCTGATCTTGTCACTTTTCAGGATCACAGGTTCAAAGGCAGTTTTTATTTTTTCTAAAATATCAGTACCATACATAGGCTTCTACTCCAATCACATGTTACACCCTATTTTTATCCAGACGGTAAAAAAGGTCATCCAATATAGTTTATGTGCATTTATTAATAAGGTAAACGTTACTTGGCGCCACCGTGTGGTGGCGACGTTAAAGAATCTATCACCCCATTTCATCATGTGTGTGTTGAAGATTCGATTATGGTATGTGAATGCTAGAAAAATCTTAGGGCTTCCGATAGATGGCAATATAACAAACTCATTAACCAGTACAAACCACAAATATGTAAATAAACACACATAGACATCTTTCATATTACATCTCTTTTGTATAATTAGTTTATTGTGGATAAGTGTAACAGATTGAAATAACAAATAAAAACCTCACCCAACTCAATACTGCATTGTAAACCTCCCTTTCTTCCCTCACGTTGAGTTCATCTTTTCGTATGAGAGCTATAAGTTCTGGGGCCGTTAGTTGTAAGAACTCCTCTTCTCGACAAACCTGCAATCATTTGAATTACGTAAATAATCGCAAGTACTTACGAAATAATCGCGGGCGTAGAAGAAGAAGAATAATAATAATAATACCTTATCACTTCGTCATAATGACTAATATTATTTCGTTAACTTATAGAAAACATTAAATAACCTTCCAAATTTGAGCAAAAACACACAAATAATGCAGCAAAAATTAAAGATTCTACCTGATGGTAAGTGAATGCTGTATAGATATCTACATTTATCCTCGATTAAGAATCAAAATGCAGACGCATTGTCACTCCTGATGACTCAGATGGAATGCCTCGTTTCCAGTAAGAAGGGTTTCCGATTCTCTACACTCAACATACAAAACACAGCAGCATTAAGCTGCTACTTTACGCTGATATTCTGTGAGAGCGTGATCCTACCCCGGTCAAGCCATAATAAAGCCACAGCGTGACTCTACCACATTTGAAATCTTATTATCAATCCGAATACAACCTGGCTGCGTTTATGGCAAGAATGAATTGGCTTTTGTTACAATAAGACAGTACATTCTCTCTCTCTCAATAAGACTCTACTCGTTCAACTCCCACATTTGGGCACAGGGCAGCATTAAATCTAAAGTTCTTATATGTTAAACTTTGAAAGGATTGTTTGTTAACTTATTCTTCTTTCTTCATTCTATATGCTTTATTCGCCACAGATTAAGGACGACTTAAAATATCCATTATATTATAATCATCCATTATATATATATATATATATATATATATATATATATATATATATATAAAATCTTTCTTAGGTGACAGTCATTTTCCTGAAGACAGAATTCGACACGAAAGAAAATAAAATGCCTATGTTTTTTTATAGAATAAGGTAACAAACATAATCCATACCACGGTAGGTGGATACGACGTGGCATTCCATCTTAATCCTCAGGGGTGACACGCATGTGCATTTTGAATTTTAACCTAGCATAGATGTCTATAGGTCACAGTTATCTATCCTAGGTTAAAAATTAAAATGCACATGCGCGTCACCTCTGCCGACTAAGCTGTTTTTTATATAATATAGGTGATAAACGAGCACACAGTCCACTTGGTAGTAAATGGAAAATGTGCACAAATAGTCATACTTACCTCTGTAAAATGCCTCTCGATGAACTGATTCGCTTTCTGCTTTAGTTTGACGCAGCCATGCTGCTCTGAGAAGTTGGCGATGCCGATGGCGTTGGACGGATCCAGTTGTCGCTCGAGGAACGCGCAACACGCCTCTATCACGTTCGAGATCTGTGACGTAGAGCTAAAGTATTACGTCTTTTGCTTTGAAAAAACGCTGTTTTAATTTTGAATCAAATACTTAATAATAATAATAATAATAATTAGACGTAGGAAAGTGACGACCCCATCGCCCGCTGACGTAACAGTTATGTGACAAAACTGCTACGTCGGCGCAGTCAGTCAGCATCCTGCCAAGAGGTGTGAGAGCCGTGCCTAGGCAAAATTGTGGGTGCAAAGGTCCGTTTCTGCATATGACCCAAACACGAAACGGTGCCGGGCTTGGGCGTCTCCCGTTATTTGGCGCCCATAAAATGGATGATGGCACAGAAAGGAACGCGCATAGGGCCGCTGCCTAGGGGTCGCCGGGGCGCGTCTGGAGCTGGCGCTGGACGCGGCAGCATGCGGGCCGCCAGCCGAGCGCGAGGAGCTGCACGATCACTTAGCAGCCCCTCGCATCCATCATCCCCACCAGAAGGCTTGGTGTCGGCTGGGTCTTCTCGAACTCAGCAAGCGGCACCCGCCGCTGGTGGAGCACGTCGCATGCGTTGGACAAAACGAAAACGCATTGCGAGCGTACTATAGGGCGAAAGGGGAAGAAACTGTGGGAATAGCGTATAGGGCTCGGATGCATTGCTTTTTTGCTGAGCTGGAGCCTTCTATCCCCGTCACGGAACAAAACCGGCAGACCGGGTTCGGTACCTCATGCGCTCGAAAATATTTGATGATGCCGAACTCGAACGACTACGACGTGAGGCTATTCCATCGTCGAATGAATCGGCTATGGCTGGAGATGCAACTCCACATCCGACAGACCAGCATCCACACGTGGAAGCCGCCATGGATCTTCCAGTTGTGGTTGATTCGAACGACGATGAAATAGTCTCCCACGAACTAGAGCAAATGAGGAGTATATTGGAAGAGGCGACTTTGGAAACGCACAGCACCCCTCTCGCAAATCGACCGCGACTTCCCCGCATACCCCTAAGCAAGCGAAATCGGGCTGTCTTGAGAGCTCTTAACCCAATGCTGGTGACCTATTTGGAAGCCAGCCGGGACCTTTGCGAGACGGACTCAATTCTCTTTGGCGCCGCAGTGGCAGTTTGCCGTATTATTGGCGCCAAACTTCCCATGGCTGGACGCGCTACTACAAGTAGCGCCATCCCAGCCTGGAGAAAAAGAATCGAGGACCGTATTGCAAAGGCAGGGGCCCTTATCGGCAGACTGACAAGCTTCAGGTAGGGTAATAATAGACCGAGGATTGTGCGCACCGTTAGGATGGCGTTTGCTGGGACAAATATCAGTTTGTCCCAGCCGGATATCACGCAGAAACTAACGGAGCGCATAGACGACCGGAAGCAGAAGATCGCTGCTTGGGGGGAAGCGGATTCGACGATTTACCGAGAGGTCAAGACGGTTCAACCAGAATCGTCTCTTCCAGAGTGATCAGTAGAGGCTCTATAAATCATTGGAGCGACCAAAGTTATGTGGAGCGGGCCAAGGACCGGATCAGGCTGACATTATCGCATTCTGGCGTGGCCTGTGGGCAGAGCCCGTAAACCATAGCGAGGGCCCTTGGATGGAAGTTGTGGCGAGCCAGGGTGCGAGTGTTACGCCTATGGATCCCATCACCATAACGCCGGAAGACGTGCCTGAGGCGGTCCGTAGGGCCCCGACCTGGAAAAGTCCGGGGCTCGACGGGCTGCATCATTACTGGCTGAAGGGGTTCATAGTGTGTCACGCTGTGCTCGCCCGACAGTTTCAAGAGGCTCTCGACCAGAAGTAGCTCCCGAGCCTCTTCACTACTGGTATCACTCACTTGGTTCCTAAAGATCAGGATACCACAGACCCGAGCAAATACCGCCCCATCACGTGTCTACCCACCATATGTCTACACACTGACATCCATTTGAGCGCGAGAATCACTCATCACCTGGAGCTAAACCAGGTGATGTCACGCGCTCAAAATGGATGTCGGGGCGGTGGTCTTGGAACCAAGGAACCACTCCTCATTGACGCGGTCATATGCAAAGTGGTGAAACGCAACCGTCGGAACTTCTCTGCCGCCTGGATAGACTACAGAAAGGCGTTCGAATCGGTGCCCCATACATGGCTAAAGAGGGTCCTCGAGCTGTACAAGATTGACTGTACAGTTAGAGACTTCCTCGAGCAGTGTATGGGGTAGTGGAGTACGATCCTTTGTCATCTGGGCGAGCGGACGATGGCTGCAGAGAACCACATAAGGATAAGAAGGGATATCTTCCAGGGCGATTGTCGGAGTCCAATCTGGTTCTGCCTCTTTCTGAACCCTCTCAGTACCTTACTGGAGGGCTCCGGGAGGGAATTTCAGCTACGGAAAGGAGGGACAAAAGTGACCCACCTTTTCTATATGGATGACCTCAAGTTATTCGCCTCCAGTCGCTCCCATCTTACGGAACTGCTAAACATCACTTGTGAATTTAGCAATTCCATTGGAATGGAGCTGGGGACGGATAAGTGTGCGGTCCTCCATGTTGAAAGGGGAAAAGTTGCTAACTCAGAGGGCATAGACTTGTCTATGCCCGTCAACTTAAGGACCCTTTCCGAGGCTGGTATGTCACAGAACATCGGTATCTTTGAGGCTGGTATGAAACAGTCAGTTTGCGACGTGTTTTATGCACGCTTGACCAAAGTGCTTAACAGCCTTTTGTCCGGTGTGAATAAGTCACACGCATATAACTGCTGGGTCATGCCTGTCCTCATGTATACCTTTGGCATACTCAGGTGGACTTAGACTGAACTTAACGCCCTGGATAGAAAAGTCCGCACTACCATGACGTCCCATAGGATGCATCATCCGAGATCGTCGGTAATGAGGCTGTACTTGCCGCGAAAGCATGGTGGGCGTGGCTTTCTGAGCGCGCTCACCATGCATAATCGCGAAGTGTGCAGTCTCCGTCAATACTTCTTGGCGAGATCGGATGATCCATTCTATAATGACGTCATTTCTAGTGATAAAGGGCTTACCCCTCTATCTTTAGCCAACGAGCAATGGCAGGACCCAGAAGTGCTTAGCATTTCCGAGCGGGAGACCGTATGGAAGGAGAGTGGTACTACAAGGCTCTACATGAGCCCTTCGTAGATACAGTCGCCTCCCTCAACTGGCTACGTTTCGGTGACCTCTTCGGGGAAACCGAGGGTTTTGTCTGTGCAATACAGGATCAGGTTATTAAGACCAACAACTATCGAAGATACATCCTAAAGGACCGTCGACGTCTGACGAGCTTGTCGCCATCCCGGGGAGTCACTTAGGCATGTCATCTCCGGTTGTTCGGCGCTTTCTAACTCTGAGTACTTGCACAGGCGCAACCTAGTAGCCAGAATTCTACACCAGGAGCTCGCTCTGAAATACGGTCTCGTGGACCGGAAAGTGCCGTATTACAAGTACTTGCCGGATGCCGTGCTCGAAAATGACCGCGCCAGGCTCTACTGGCACCGGGCCATCATCACAGACAGGACTATTCTTGCGAATAAGCCTGATATTGTGCTGATGGACCGGGCACAGTCAAGGATATTTTTGGTCGACATTACCATTCCGTATGATGAGAGCCTCGTGAAAGCCGAAACAGATAAGCGAACAAAATATCTGGACCTGGCTCACGAGGTGACCGACATGTGGGGTGGTCGGCCGACCGAAATTATTCCTGTAGTCGTCTCTGCGAATGGGCTAATCCCAGTCAGCATCTCGGGTCATCTGAGGCGACTGGGACTCCGTGACGGACCGCTCCGGGCTCAAATGCAGAAGGCAGTGGTCCTCGATACCGCCCGCATCGTCCGTCGGTTTCTTTCCCTTTCCTCCTAAACCTCGGCCGTTTGGTCTTCTCTGCCGAGGGCTTCCATCTGGTTGGATCTTTATTTATTTGTGTATTTTTTGTATTTATTTTTTTTTTTATTTTTTTATTTTATTTATTATATATTTATTTCTTCTCGACCGGAGAGAGATCAGGCGCAGGAACATCGATTTTATGTATTTTCCGATGCGCGGAAATGAAACACCGCCATCTTACTGATTCCTGGCTGCTTCTGCGAATTTACTTATACAACAACCTAATAAGTATCTGATTTTAGCCTGATCTGAGATTCGGACCCCATGATTAGAAGCCTCTATAGTATAGCACTCGGGTGAAACTACTTTTAGGTTAATAATCGATTATATCTAACGGTAGCATAGTGGTATAAATAAATAAATAGTACGTTGCAACCTGTTTTAATAAATAAAATAAATAAATGTAGCAATTTTTTTAATCGGTACTTACAGTAAATTACCATATTTTTTATTAGAAAAATATTTGCCGCAACGGGATTGACCGAGCTTATCTCGAGTCAATAATTTCAGGCAGTCGCAAATTTTATAAAACGCTTGTAACTTGGGTAACTAACATATTCAAAAAACAAAATTTGTCGTCTTTGTAGATTTTTATCAATTATTGTTTTTCATTGGTTGTTGTGCTAGTATTGCTTGTGTCTTTTTTTTAAAGATTTTGCAAGTTTAAGACGTTGAGTTGAGATTAATGTCCTTCGTTTGCATGATGTGCAATTTAATCAGTGATTCGTAGTGAAATACGAAATAGTGACTCTAAAAACTACGCTGCAATGGCGGATAAAGAAAATAGAAAAAGTGTTCTAAGTGCAACAGCTCACCAACCGTTGACAACATTAAATTATTTAGGTTTCCGAAACCCGCAGTAAAGTATATTTTGCGGTACGTATACAATGTACATATACACTATTTAACAAGTTCTAACTTTAAACTAAATCTCTTGTCCAACTTATAATGAAAGATTGTTTCTCTTTAACCATTTAAAAACAAATTATTGTTTTGCAAACCATTGGACCTACTATGATAATATTTGTATTTTTAATAATTATGTCTTTTGTTTTCAGCTGTAAATTGTGGGCGAAATATCATATTCCTTCCCAAGAGCAATATACTACTTTAGCTTTCCAGACAAAGCTACATAATGAGCCCAGAA